CATTAACAAACAGAAAAAGTGCAAACGAGAGCGAGAAGGATGAATGACAAAAAAAGTTTATTTCAATAACCTCAACGTCACCATTCTCTTGCAACAATATAAGACTGAGTGATTCCATAAAGTCAGACATAGCTACTGCTTCCTCATACCGCAGCTTTGCAACGAAACCAGGCTCAACCATAAAATCCCTACAAATAAAACCGTTACTAATGTCTGACCATACGAAAAGGAAGCGGAGTAGACAGTCTAAGGATTAGTTGGTAAACAATGCTTACGGCTACCATTGAGATACATGATCCATTGTAAGAAAATTACACCTACGAGTATAAGAACACATTACGTCAGCTACTCTAATCCACCGTACCAAATAGTTAAAAAAGCATTTACAAAAAAGTACCTGCGGCGGTGGAAAGGTGGTCGGCGACAACTCGTTGTTAGTCCGGGAAGGAAGGAAGACGACGATTGGAATTCCTTTTTTCCACAGGATTTTCCTTCGCCTGCTCTTCTGTCAACATACGACAACCCTACCCTTGCTGCTCTCTCCCTAACTTTCTCCTGCCTTTCGTCCTGGGAACTTTCCGCCGCTCTTCTTCCCATAACCCCTCGAGCGAATCAGTGGCGGCGGTGGCAGGCGACGAAGGTGGCTCGGAGGTGGAGACCGGTATTGAGCGACCAACGGTGGATTGACTCGCGGAGGCGGAGGCGGAGGGGGAGGCTTGCATGCAAGGGAGGCGGAAGCGAAGGAAGGAGGAGGGCGGTTAAGTTTTCTTTCTCAAGGAAAACAGAGAAGCCTGCGCATGTGGGGAAGAAAAAGCAGGGATATGGATCGATTGCTTGATTTTGTAGGCAAGTCTTTCAATTTTTCAACTTTGCCATAATTGATCTGTGTTGGGAGAATAAAATTAATGCCCAAAAGGAGTTGTGCCGCCGATCTGCTATTGCTAAGGGCCTTATTGGGCCTGGTACAAAAGGCATGTTGTGGTGCATGTGAGGCCTTTTTAATGGCCAAAAAATACGAGGCCTTTTAAATCAATCGATCGGATTATTTAGACAACAAATAATCCGAATCGAGAGTGAACAATTAATTAGGATCTCAAAACAACCTATGGTACTTTAGCTTTCTAGCGAATTTCACTGATCATCTAGAATGACAAAGAACAATTATTCCACGTGATAGGATCATCTCCGACAAAAATCTCATAAGATCTTCCTTGATCTATCATAACCTCATCGTGACTTGGCCATAGGTATAGATGTCATGATAGTGCCTGATATAAATATATTTATAAGGAACAAGACAAACTTCTATCGATGTAAAAACTTCTATCAATGTCAAGTCTCACTTTTCAACTATAATGTTAAATACTATGTTACATGCGTCTTAGTATATGAAATCGTTTAAGCTACTAATTTTTTTTAAAGCAACACTACATCTCTTTGATAATAACAACCAATCCATTTTACACGCATCAGTGTCAAGGCAAAATACTGAACCATTCGGAACATGGAGCTTTAACCTTTATAAGTTTGTCAAGGCAGAATTTCAAACTTAGTTACTAGACTGCGCTACAAATGCCCTTTCACGTGGTTTAGCAAAGGTTTGTTTTGGGATGTACTAGTCCTTTGTACTAGTTTTGGGTTAACGCAAAGTTGCAAGGTGGAGGTGGGCACAACGATGGTGTGTGACAAAAATGACATGTCTTGACATTACTATTTATGAATAGTTGTAAAATAAAATTCTAAATAGAAAAATGAAATTTTTTCCAAAAACTTGACTAGCAAGGAGAGGGTAATCAACTATGAACAAGTGATTTCAAAGAAGAAACATAAAACCGCTAATAATTATAAAAAAAACTAAATATAATGGTTGAACCTAGTATTTGAACCCTACACCTATTCTAGCAAACTTAATAGTAAACTACTAGCTTAACCACTAAGTTGCCAAAGTTTCTTGTTTTGTATGCTAAAGTTTATGGAAACTATAAGTGTGATGATGTTAGCCCACATTCCATCTCGTGAGTGGTTGAGAAACGATCAGAAGCCTCACTTCGATCGTCTTCTTCCTGTTCGTATTTCAAATTTGAGTTTTTTTTTTTTCAAATTCAAACTTCACTTTTCTGCTCCACATAAATCCCCAAAATTTCCATAATAGCATACTGATACAACATGGTCCTATTATTGATTTTGAGGGTATGGCATATCTAGTTTTAAAACAAATATGTGCGATAAACAAAATTCGCAGAACTTGACCCAGGAAGGTTTGACATCATCAATGATAGAACATTGAGGCGCCGCCGTTGATCTGTTGGTGACGGAACTTGGAAGCGAGGCTAATGGCGTCGGGGTCATCAAAGACCATTTGTTTCGTCGTGGGAGGACTATCCGGTGGGGAGGTCACCCCTTTTTCTTTCGACGAAGGTCTCTGCAACTCGTTCGAGAAGCCATAACGCCAATCTCCAGAAAAAGCGAGCAGAGGAGCAACCTTTCTTCTTCTTCTGGTTTCAAGGATTCGAAATCCCTTCCGCAAGGAGAGTCTAAGTTGTTGGTGAGCGAAGAATTTGGGGCCGACAAGGGAGATTAGAAAGGGTAGGGAGAGGGGTAGCGGCGTCTAGCGGCGGAGGACGGAGGAACAGGGGAAGAGGATAGGGTATTAAGGTAGCGGCGTGTAGCATCGGAGGACGGAGGAACAGGGGAAGAGGATAGTGTATTAGGGTAGCACCGTCGCTATTGAAAATGGTAGGGTTCGAACGAAGCATAAAAACAAAAATGGAGAAGAGAGGGTCGGGATTAGGGGAACGAAGTACTGGTAGGGTTGGATGGGGTAGGTACCCTTTATGTTTTGGGGTGGTTGAATTTGGGTTCAATCAAAATATTGAAAAAACCCAACCCAACTCAAACTACCCAACCCACGGACATAAAGGACTAAAATGAAAGGAAAACTAATTCTATGAGTCTTCCTATAATTTTATTTAATATAAATTCCAAAAAAATAAATCATTTAATAAAATTTACTCTCAGCCGTCGAGATCACACGTACGGTTAAGATCGTCAAGGTACGCCATAACCCGGATTTTATCCGGGGTACGATAGAACTCGCCATATATATATATATATATATATATATATATATATGAATGAGCAAAGCCGATGATTTGCACAAAAAGCCGTAAACGAAAACCTAGCGAACAATAATTAAATACAAAGATTGTAGAATGGAGAGTGGAATGAAAGAAGGGTTGAAACTTCCCCACTTACACTTGAAGGAGTGTGAGAGCTACTAATAAATAGTAACTCACATGTTAGGCTTTATATTTATATATATGAATAACAAGATGAATTATGTGAGTGTGGATAAAACTTCAAATATAATGACTGGGCAAGTCACTTATCGCATGAAACCACAACATAGGTACCTTGTTCCTCAAGCCTTAGCCTATACCACTTGTAAAATACAATAGTTGATCGTTCTTGCCTAGGATTGCCACTTCCCTCATCCAAATCCGATCGAGCTGCTATTAAAACCATATAGTTTAATCTGTATTGCAGAGAATTCCACTTTTGGCGAAAGTGCCAAACATATTAAGCATGCATGTCTGTTAATTTGATCCATACTAGCAAAATCCCGCTTGCTATCGATTTGCGTATTACAAAGATAAATATTTGAAAGAGTAATAGTTTTAATGTTGACCCAAAGTGAAAGTAATCTTATTTCATTCTTAATCATTCTTTTCATAGGTTTGTTATTTACAATAGCATATGGTCGATGAACTTGCATAACGTAGAGGGGTCGTCGAATAGATTATTTATGTTTAAACTTCTTTCATGACGCTAATGTTTCAATTTGTATGGTTTATTTATGGTTTGAGGTAATCACAGTTCTTCTTTATGAAATTTTTGGACTGATTGCAGGTTTGAGGAGGTTCAACACGCATTGATCGGGTCAAATTAGGTTGGATACCCATGGATTTGGGTTCGATTGTCTTTCTCAAACAAAAGGAAAAAGTGAAATGAAAAACACTAGATTCAACTCGCTTTGACCTGGTTGGACTGAGTTTGGGACAAATTCATACCTAACACAACATGCAACTATAAAAGCAAATAAAACTCAGCTCGCTCCCGCTGAAAACCTGTAAAATCGAGTTCAAGTCGCTTTGATCGGGTTGAATTACGTTGTATACCCATGCGTTTGGACTCAATTGTCAGTCTCAACTAAAATGAAAAATATAAAAAGTACTAAAACGGATAAAACTCGCTCATTACCCCCAAACTCTCAACAATATGTTCAACTCCGGGTCGACCCAATTTTAACAAATTCACAATTTAGCCAACCGAAAAAAAAAGACACTCAATTAAGCAACACACAAATCATCTAGTTCAAGACGAGTAGCATATCCATATCCCAACATTTACATTGCCTATCACGACGGGTGAATCTCACAACCCTTTTCCCCAAATTGGTTTCAGTTTTCACCGTTTCACCTTGTAACTAGCTATAGCTACACAAGGGTTTGGACCGAGTAGTCGTCCTCTTGCCTTGGCTTGCTAACTGTTAGCAGAGCCCCATATCCATATATGTATGTCATGCAATAGTCACCACAATACGGCGAGTAGTTGCGCCCCTCCATCAATTTTACAAACTGCCCGCATTCATTACCTTCAGCTACCATCCCACACACTATCCCAACAATTAAATCCCCATTCATTTCTTCTTCTTCTTCTTCTTCTTCTTCTAAATAAAAATAATATCCCTTCTCCATTACCCATTTACCCTGTCCTCTACAACTATCGCCCGCCCAAACGCTTCCTTAAATGTCTCCAACCAACAACGCCAGACGACCCAAACCCAAACCCAAAAGTCCCAAACCCCAAAACCTTAGTCTATTTAAGGCCATGTGCATGTCCATCATCCCCATCCCAAAATTACCATCACTTGTCTACCAAAACAAACATAAAAGGCTAGGCTAGCCTTTGTCTCCCTTTTCTCCATCGATCGACTCGTTATGGGAAAGACTCCTCAGATGGGGATGGGTGGCCTGGCCATTTTGGTGGTGTTGTTTATGGGTTCAGTCATGCCGCAGTTGTCGAGTGGGTTCGAGAAGGGCACCATCAGGCAGCTGGTGACCAAGTACAACGTGACGAGCGTTTTGGTGTTCGGAGACTCCAGCGTCGACCCCGGCAACAACAACCGGCTGCCCACTCCGATGAAGGGCAACTTCCCGCCTTATGGCAAGGATTTCTTCCAAGCCCGCCCCACCGGCCGCTTCTCCAACGGCAGGCTCGCCACCGACTTTATAGGTACGTCAATAACTAGCTGCCTAGGGTCAGAGTGTACTTCATCTTAAATTTCCAGATGGGGACCCATTAATATGTTGCCTTCTGCGACCTTTGTTGCGGTCGCAAATGACTTCCTGTGACAGTAATATATGTGTGTGTAAGGACTAAGGAGTAAAGTTACAATAGTAACGAAATAGTAAATGGTAGATGTGATCGATTATCTAAGAAATAAAAGGAAAATAAGATATTTACTTAGTCCATTACGACACTGTTTTGGTCTTTTTTGGACGACAACAATTTTGTTGGTGGTAAAAGTTATGTTTTGGTAAAGTTTGTACGTAACGTTTTGTCACTATAAAATAATTTTTATTTTAGAAACGTCACTATAAAATAATTGATCGAACAATTTTCATAATACGAATTAATAATGTTGAAAAATGATATAACTTAATGTGAGGAATTGTATTTACTTGTGCCAACCAATGATAAGTTGTATAGTAGAATGTGTTCTGTTTGACGTGAAACAAACATATATATATATATAATTAATGTACTTCCTAAAACATATGTAATGTTCTTTCTTATGATTTTTCTGTGGTTCCCTCGTATATGTATGTAGCTGAGGCATTGGGATTCACGAAGATAATCCCAGCATTCTTGGACCCAAATCTGAAACCGAAAGATTTACTACACGGAGTTAGCTTCGCATCTGCTGCTTCCGGGTACGATGAACTCACCGCCAATTTCTCGGTACGTAATTTATCAATTAGCCAATTAAAAATCTCATCAAAGCGTCAACTAATTATATACTCAAATGGGTTGGTCAAAATCACATACAAAAGCTAATTAGTCTTTCTACGTACGTACAGAATGTGCTGTCGATTCCTAGGCAGCTGCAGTACTTGAAGCACTACAAGCTCCAGCTGAGGCGGGTGGTGGGCGTGAAGAATGCGGAATGGGCGGTGAAGAATGCGGTGTTTGTGCTGAGCATGGGAACCAACGACTTCCTCCAGAACTACTACTTGGAGCCAGAAAGGGCCAAGCAATTCACCGTCGAACAGTACCAGGACTTCCTTTCCACCCAAATGCTCCACAGCATCAAGGTAATTACTCTGCTCACAGCTGTCTTTTCCGCCAACTTTCAGTTTCTTTGTCGGTCTTAATTTCTTTGGTTGGTTGCCTTCTCCTTGACATTTGAACCACATGGGCTGTTGCTAACAACGTGTGTGTATTCTCATTAAACCAACAAAGTGTGCAATGCATAAATGTTGTGCCTTTTATGGGTGATGGCTACCCTACTGACCTAATATTACAACTGTATAAGCAAGAATCAATGCTGTTTCAATCAGGTCCTAAAGTGTAGGAAGAACTATATTATATTTTACGGAATTCTGAAAAGTCTTCATCATTATTGTTAATTGTAGTTAGTAACCAAGTACATATTTTATGTAAATAAAATTAAACCATGAAAGAGAAATCTAACTCTAAGTCGAGATAATTAATGACACATGCACCTAGACCAGATATCCTACATATAATTGCATCAATTTAACGACTGTTAATTCTAATTGAACGTAAATCACTCGATGGACCTTTAAATTATAGTGTTTGTAAAACCGCACGGTGTTGGTAGTCCGACAACAAAAATTATCTATTTGTAATTTTAATCGAGTTTGAATTATAAATAAAACCATGATTTAAACACACTTTGTTCCGGTGCAATGATTGCTAATTAAGATTCTTTGTTTTACATCCCTAAGAAACACATAAAAAGGAAACTTGGAGGATAGTTATTGCATGCAGACCTACCTGATCTTCTGTCCGCACATAACATTTGTTGTTATTTTGGACCGTCAAATTGAAAAATGGTATGGTTGGTGGTGGTGGCAGGAAATGCACAGGCTGGGAGCAAGGAGATTGGTGGTGGTGGGTGTCCCGCCGCTGGGATGCATGCCGCTGGTGAAGACACTGAGGGGCGGTGAGGAGCAGAACAAGTGTGTGGAGGCCATAAACCAGGTGGCTTCCTCCTTCAACTCCAAGATCAAGGCCAACTTGGCCCTTCTCCACCGCACCCTCGGGATCAAGGACGCCTACGTCGACTGCTACGCCGTCCTCCAGAACGCCCTCTCCACCCCACAGACTTACGGTCTCTTACTCTGCTCTATTCCACACTAACGTCCTTATGTAATTCTTAATCACACAACTCTCTCAGGTTACACATCGACTTCCTTTCCCCATTTCGGTTTCCAGGTTTGGCGGAGACGGCCAAGGGCTGCTGCGGGACCGGAACCATAGAGTACGGTGACACGTGCAAAGGGTTGAGCACGTGCGAGGATGCGTCCAAGTACGCTTTCTGGGATGCGGTACACCCGACGCAGAAGATGTATCAGATTATCGCCGACGAGGCCATCAAGTCCTTGTCCGAGGCACTCATCCGATGATGATTTGTTCGAAACAGAGGAGGACCAACTTAATTATTAACATGCGTGTTCTGGATATCAATCAAATGCACGTGCAAGCGATATTTGCTACTGGGTTGAATCTAGTCTAGCTGCGTTCCTGTGACTGTTGTGTTTCGTTTGAGAGTGAGTTGGCTTGCCGTGAAAAAAAAAAGAAGCTAAGAAATCAAAGTGTGTGTAGAATGTTTAAAGGGCGTTCAACTTTTATTCAATAATGAATCGGGTCGCTTGAACTACAATAGTGTCATGGCACAACTAGTATGAAAGTGCAACATCAGGTGCTGCAATAATTTGAGGCCCTAACGAGCGAGGGTGCACTAAATTAGCAAGATAATCAGCAACGGTAACGACTTTCGCCTCTCTATAGACAATTAGACATGCACAATTCAGACCTATCCAACACAAATAGTTAAAATATTGTGTCAGTTTAATGAACCGACGGGACACAATCAATTAAAATAATTATCTATCTTGTAGTGGGGGTGTAAAAGCTATCCTTTTTAAATTTTAAGCTTGTAACATGTTTAACATTTCATTCTTTCTCTCACAAGTCAGACCTATGCAGCTTCTTGTTCCTCCTCTGTTACTGGGCCCATTGACACCATATCTCGTCAGTAGCCTGTTTCTAATGCTTCATAGTGGGCCGCCATATTTTGCTTGTTAATGCAATTAATGGGCTTCCATATTTATTACTTCACACTGGACGCCCGAACTATATATATATATATAGGGTTGACGTTTAGTTATAGCGCATCAGAGGGAGGCAGCAACATGGCCGGCCCAGTATGGGCTTGGCTGCAGACCCAATCTGAGCCGTTTCAAATTTGCTATAGTTCTCTTACAAAAAAAAAAAAAAAAAATTGATATAGTTCTTTTTTCTGTTGTAAATTTATTTTATTCCACCAGTAGAATAGAGGAGTCCTAACGTGTGATTACCAATGATTGCTAAATCGTACCGAAAATCATACTGTAAATATTAGTAGTAGAGGGATCTGATATTTCCGTGCGACCAACCATTACGGTATGATTTCTAAAACATTGGTGATTACAAGTAGACTGAGTTAAGATAGACAATGTGAATATACTCCTGAAAGACTAGCTTAGAGTACGTTCGAGCAAACTGAGGAGCTAACATAATTTTTCCACTTTTTGGAACTGGTGACGGATGACACCTTGATCCAATTGGTAAAGCTATTGTTACAGACGAAACCAGCCAGACTATATGGGATATCAGGGAACATATCTAATATTTTGGGGGGAAATCAACGACCCCAAATGAGTGAATGACCCCAAATTAGGGGTGTCCATTCGGATTCGGTTTTTCGGGTTTACCCGAAACCGACCCGATTATATACATTTTTTGTTTTTCGGGTTTGGGTTTGTTTCGGGTTTCGGGTTTTTCGGTTTCGGGTTCGGTTTTGCTTATCGGTTTTTTGGGTTCCAGCTAAAAATCTCCGATGAATAGAACTCAACCCGTATTCTTAGGCGTTCGGGTTTTGGTTTTGCTTTAACCGAACCCGAACCCGATAAGGAATTTTCGGGTTTCGGGTAACCGAAACCCGCAAGTCCTTATCGGGTTCGGGTTCGATTTTAGTGGTTTTCAGTTTCGGGTTTTCGGGTTTTTCGGGTAACCGAACCCGACCCAAACTGACACCCCTACCCCAAATATGTATGTGTATTCAAATAGAACCTTTACAGTAGAACAAGAACAATTTCCTGTCGATTTTCATAAAATTTGCGACATATGGTGTTTGGAGTAACAAAAGTAAGGGGTCTTGTTTAATCATGAATCCTTACATTTACACAGGTTCACGTATACATGTATTTCACATGATGCATTACCCTAATCGAAGTAAAAAAGAATTGACCAACAACGAAAACCGCTATTTGGGGGGAATATATATATATATAATTCAACAAATTAATTAGTCCTTGATAAGAAGATCAATGGCGGGACGAGCTGCTTTAAAAACGTTGTGGTATGTCTTCTCTGTGGGATGAATGGAATCCCAAAATATGTATTTGGAAGCGTCGGGGCAGACGAGCGAATGCGGGTTGCACAAGAATCCGGCTTCCAAGAACCCAGTCCCACAGCACCCGGAATTCACCTCTTCGAAACCTACAATTTGGGATTCAATCATCAACAGTTTTTTTAAGTAGATAATGGACCAATTTCATCACAAAACCCAAATTATGACCAAAACCATCGTTTTCCAAATTAACCAAGCAAACGACCCATGTGTGACATGAATATTGATAGCTATTAGGTTCAATTCAAATGATTGAAAATGTTTTAGGATGAAATTTTTCGGTTGGAACAATTTGTTAAAAAAATGATAATACTTTTATTTGTGGAAATAAGGACAAACAACATGAAAAAAAATAATTATTTATGATTTTACATAGATGTAACAAATATATTGAATTTATGGATTGATGAATTCATGAACCAAATGAATTGGAGAATTAATGGATTGAATAAAATGAATTTAATGTCTGGATCATGGATCCCATTAAGTTCTTAGCCTTTGACCAACATGTAAATTTTGAAAATTTTATGTACTAAAATGTGATAATAAAAATTTTAGAAAACCAAAAACCATTTCGAATAATATATTTTTTGTCAAAATATAAAATTAAGGTTCCAAATTGTAAAATGTAAAAAATACAGATACTAAACTGTAATTTGTTAATAATCCATTTATTTAATCAATGAATCCATCAATCGAATTCATTTCACCTAATTTATATATGTAGTGTTGCTCACTCATGTTGTCAAAACAATAAATGAAAACAAAACAAAATATATTTTGGGTTTATGTTTTAACTTACAAAAGCATATATAAAACTGTGAATGATACGGGTGTAACTTTGTACACCAGAAAAACACATCCATTGAACTCGTTTCATTCAGAACCTAAGCTCGTCAAATTGTATGCTTACTAACAGTAATAAAACAGTCTTCATATCTTACCAAAACTCAAATGATGAACTTACCATTGGTTTGTGGGCGTTGGATCATGTCGTTGACGGCATGGTAGACGTCGGATACATAGATCTTGACTCCTCGACTCGCGAGGTGAGGTTTGATGCGGTCCAACTCGTTCTGAAGCATGAGGTTGAAATCGACGGCCACCTGGGTGTATTGGTCAAGGCACCGGCGATCAAAGAGAGGATGCTTGGAGTAAAGGGTTATCATCACCGGCAAACATCCCATTGGAGCTAGCGCACTTAGTAGCACTCTTCTTGCTCCTTCCTCTATTAAACCCTTCAATTCATGCCACCCAACAAACTACTCATTAGCTAATGTTCGTATAATATGATTGAGGTGATAGAATATCTAATGCATAATAACTATAGGTTATACAATTGTTCATAATTAGATCTCTTATCTTGAAATAGGTGGACCTAGATATGATGGATGATATCATTCGTCTATATTCTTAATCGACTTATTTATATATATATATATATATATATTTCATTTTCACTTGAATTTTGAAATATTTTGCATAATGAACAATGATTCATTATGATCTACAAAATGATATTATTTTCACCAATATACTTGGGGAACAAATTTCAGACAACTGATTAATTATCACTCTCTACTACTCTCACCGATCTGTTATCTTATTCGTTTCAACTTGAATTTTAAAATTTTTTGCACTAAAAGAAGAGAGTTATAGTGCTAGATGGTGTCTATTCTCAATATATTTATGGGAAAACTTTTTGGAACCAGTAAAAAAAGGTGTAAGATAGGGTGCATGCTAGTTGTGCCAGAACTAAAGGGTAAGAATAAAAGGCTATTTTTATTTGTTTTTTAATTGACTTTTATGTTTGTTAGTTTAACTTGGATTTCCAAAAAAGTTTACATTGATGGAATTGGTTCATTGTGAACTTTTGATCTACAAAATGATATCCGATTTCAGTATATTTTGATAAAAAATTTCATACCACCCTGATCTCACTTGGTACCACCAACGTCTTTAACTTGAATTTTGAAAAACTTTGCCCAAAAGAAACGAGTTCATCGTTATGTATTGAATCTACAAATTTTTAGAAAAACAATTTTATGACCAAATATACTATCCTATACCACCCTATCCAGGGTGGTAACTGGTGGCATACGGTGATGAAATGTGGTAAATGACCATTCTATACTCTGGTATATTCATATCACCATGATATACTTCTATCAATGTGGTATTATATTATGTGTTGCCCACCATTACAACTTGGTATGTACTAGTAATAAATGTCTTAAAATTTTGTCACAAAATATATTAAAGCGGATGTTATTTTGAAGAAACAATCTGATTTCTCTATAAAAAAATTGAATTACTACTAAAACGAATGCTAAGCGTAGAGATTAGTCATGAAGCCTTCCGAATTAGCAAAGGAAAAGGATAAATACAATACAGAAGAGGCAAAGGATGAAGTGTATGTGGAGTATGGACCACGCACGTAATCATATATAACTATATATTACAAAGTAAAAAATACGGTTGACATGCAATTTATTGTAACCTATATTCATAGTTTCGCAACAGCTCGCTTTTACTTATACTTAAGTATTCATGCTCTTCGGGGCTCGGATAGTATAACAACAGGATTCATTAAGGGTATAAGGGTAAACTTACCTAAAATCTAATAAAATAAAATTAAATGTATTTAGCCCACCCACCCTCGTCTCCTTCACACTCCCGCTAGATCTCGATTCTTCTTCTCTCCTGCCGGCTTCCCTATAAAATCAAAACCCTCACCGCGCTTCAACTCCGTCGTCCCTCCATCATAGCTCGGGTCACGGCCTCCGACGCCGGAGATGAAGAAACCCCATCCCCTCTCTGTCTCTCGATCTCTTCTCGTTGTTACTGCCCGTGAAATCGAGAGGCCTCCTCCTGATCCCGTCTCCCACGCCGCTGTCCAGAGCTACTTCTTGATTAATGGCTCGATATTGTTCTGTTCGGTATGATTTATCGGTTACTAGGAGCGGGACAACACATATGTGTGAATATGAAGCTTCGATGCGGGAGTTTCAGTAACTACGTGGGCGGGCAGGAGCTTGGAACAGGGAGGATTATGTTGGGCATGGAGCTGGTTTTTGGTTATCTACATTAGACATAATGGCAAGCAATGGAATTACAATTCCATGAGTTGCCAATGGGATGTTGCCAGGAGCTAATTAATTGCCAAATACCCTCGTTGATTCATGTCTCGCCATTATGGATGGCCTACCAACGTGAAGAGGGACAAGATTCCTATATCTAAAGACGGCCAGGAAGGAGTAACCATATTTCCGTAGTAGCCCAGTATGTTGGACTCGTTCGAGTCCTGGAGCGAAATTAGAAGTCTCGTAAGCGTTAGCTGAATTGTTAAAAGCTTATTTTTTCTCGACAACGAGTGGAAAACTCTCTTCTATATTGATCAGGATTGAGAATGGTTTGATCAGTTAAATCGTTACTTAGCTCAAACCTTGAGGACAAGGTTTTTTTAAAGGGCCGGGGAGGATTGTTACGTGATTTCCTTCTTTCCTACCATTATTATCACCATCACTATTAGAGTATGTATGTGTTTGTTGCAGGAAAAACATACTGTAAACCTCCTAATGCAATAAAACAACCCACAAAAAACATACCGGAAACCTCCTAATGCAAACCACAAATTCGCTAAAACATATCAGAAACCCCACAAAGCAGACCATAAATATTTTGAAAAGCACACCAGAAACCCCCTAATGCAAACCACAAACACGGTAAAGCAAACCAAAAACGTCTTAATGCAGACCACAAATATATTAAAACAAACCAGAAATCTCGCAAAGCAAACCACAAAAGTTTCGAAAGCACACCATAAACTTCTTAATGCAAACGAGAAACCTCCTAATGCATACCACAAATCTCCTAAAACAAACCACAAACCTCACAAAGCAAACCATAACATTTGCGAAAGCACACCAGAAACCTCCTAATGCAAACCACAAACACAGTAAATCAAACCACAAAAAAAGCAAACCATAAACGTCCTAATGCAAACCACAAATATATTAAAACAAACCAGAAACCTCACAATGCAAACCACAAAGTTTTTGAAAGCAAACCAGAAACTTCTCAATGCAAATCACAAAAGGCATAAAAAAATATGAGAAACCAAACCATAAATCTCATAATGCAGACCATAACATCCGGTGATCGTCAGTGAGCAGATTCCGGCGCCGATAGGCATATTCCGACCCCGATGACTAGATTCCGGCGCCGGTAAGCATATTCCGGCGACAAATAGCATATTAAGGCGACAAAAAAATATTCCGGTGACCGGCGACCAGTTTCCGGCGACCAGTTTCCGGATTCAATCGACCAAATTTTTGGGTAGAAAATAAATTTTTTTATTTATTTTTTATTATTATTTAAACATATTTTCATAATGACAATTATACCCTTGCTTTGATTTTACACTAGGTCAACTCAACTAATAAAAAGTCATCACATCCCTACCTTCCTATTGGTGAAAGACTAGTGTTGTCACTATGACAACATCACAAGGGATGTTGTCATAGTAATCGATCCCCTGCTCTTCGGTAGCAAGATAAGATTGTACCCCAGCCCCAGGCACCCACCCTTAATTCTTTAAATTTTGGCCCCTCTTGTCGTCGATGATCGATGGCATTTTTTCCTTTCCCCAAAACTTGGAGAAGAAATTACAACATTTTAACTAATTTTCTCGAGTTCTTGCAAGTCAAAAGACAGTTTGGTCTCCGCTTCGTTCCGAAAAAATATCGTTTGCTACCCCAAACGAGCAATTTTTTGATTTCGTCAAACTTTAAACGGCTATAAATTTGTGTTTCACAATCCAAACGTCATTGTTTTTATTTTATTTCGCACAACTTAGTGCTCCTCCTTAAAAAGTAATGCAAAATAAAAAAAATTCTAGTTCTTGTAGAAATATCCCAAATAATTGCTCGCTCCCCTTCCTTGCTCCCCAAAAATTCTTCGACCTCTTCCCCTCCCCCCACCCACAAACGAAAAATTAACCAACACCACATATAACTACAAATGCACCCCTTAGGTCCACATATAGTAAAATAAATAAATTTGCTCTATATTATTAGCTTTTGTGTGTGTAGTATAGCAATAATACGCTAAGAAAATTGGTCCCCAACACATAAATCTGCTCCTCCCCTGAATCTTTCCTCACGTAGATAGCTAGCAAATTCACCCTCACTAACTCACATCTAACAGCGACGCGCACCCGCTCCATCTTGCTATGCCTCATTGACATTCTAATGAAGGAAATTCTAATTTCATTCCAAAACTCTAATTTGATTCATAAATTGCTCTATGACATTAGATAAAGATTTAAAAAAAAAAAAAGAGTGAAGATAATGCCATATTAATTATTACATACCTGGACGAAGTCCATGGACTTTTGCAGGATGAACTTCTCGTACTCGTAGACGGTAAAGGTTTTTTTACGAAACGGCAGAGTAAAGTAACTGATGACGAAGTCATTGGTTCCCGCACTCACCACCACCAGTGATTTCCTTATGTGTTCTTCCGTCCTCCGCTTCCCCATCACAGCTTCCAGCTTTTTCTTATACTCTCTCAAGTAATCCAGCTGCTGCTCTATTGGTATCACGTTCTGTTCAGTCAAAGCAGCAGTAAATAAATTAATTTACCCTTAGTCTCTCCTTTTTTACCGCGCAGTTATTTTTGGTAGATGTCCCGATATATGCATGGAGAAATTGACAAGACGAAGACGGACCCCAAAATGGGTTTTGGCCCAGACGTAAAAATATAGCAAATGTTGAATTGAATGCCAATCGGCTGCGAGTTTATGTGAGGCAGAGAATGGACGGACCACAGCAGAGAGAGGGGTAAATTACACTTATTTGAGGGGTCATGGGATCGTAACCAGTGCCGGCCGACGCGAAACTGACGCCGGTCTTGAGGTCGTCGACGGTGAGGCTCGGGTCCAGATACGGCGGCACGTTTTCCTTCACTCCCACGTACGAAGCTGCCTCCAAATAAAATACAGCCGACAATAATTATAATAATAATTTCCGGGAATTTACTCTTTTTTTTTTTTAATTATACATAAGCATCTTGGATCTTGGGCGGGCTAATTAAGCCGTCGTAAATATTTTGATCAGAGACATTAATTATAATTATGGCATCTTACCTTACAGTACGAGCATTGCAGATCATTAATTACAAGTTTTTTTATTTCAAAAATAATTAGTCCAAATTAACTAGCACGAATTGATACTGTAAACTGAATACAATGATTTGTAGACCAAAATTAGACAAAAGAAACTCGTAACTATTAATCAAGTAGGTGCAGAATCACGTGAAAAGATTCAGCTTAATTACTGGTGTTAATTGTACACTTTTGTTTTTTCTTTCTTTCATTTCTGATGTCAATTATCAAGTAAAACAGAGATGGGCGAAGCTATTCGGACTTGGCACTAACCTATGAAGTCGGTGGTCAGGCGGCCGTTGCTGAACCGGCCGGTGGGCTCCCCGCCGACGAAATCCTGGCCGTAAGGGAGGAAATTTCCCTTGAAAGCCGTCTTCACGAAGTTATTATTCCCGGCGTCCACCGTCGAGTCTCCGAACACCAACACCGCCGTGACCGAGTTGTTCAGCGGCCTCGCCGTCGACAAGGCTTCCGTAATATGACAGCCATTTTTTAGAAGGTTGAATAGTAAGATGAAAAGAAGACAACTGCGGCAACATTGTCTGTAGTTGTGGCTCTCCATAACACTGGCCTGGCTGGCAATATGGGCAGAGCTTTCAATATATGATATGCGTATGGAAGATTAGTGACTAGTGAGTGGTGCCGGTTGCTTGGTTGGTGCATTTATGTAATTTTGATATGATGGAATAGAAAGTGGGTCACGTACCCTTTGATTACTGCCAAGAAGAGAAAACGATTTTTTTGACAAGATAAAGCTTGTCATTTAGGGGGGCCGGGTACTATTAGTAAGCAAATATTATTGAGACTATGAATTAATTGGATTTTAGATATATTATATCCCAAGTCTTAATTAGTGATACACAATTTTAAGTCTTTAAATTCTAAATTCTAAGATAGTGGATCTAGTTTGTATTTAAAGAAACAGAGTTGTTTATATATAATTATTATTATTATTTAATAAAATACGTAATTAAGAAAATAATTAGGACCTAGATTTTTACTCGTTCACTATACGATAGTTTCTTACTAACAGTATACAATACCCCATATCTGCTATGAATATAATAGGTCTATTCTATTCATTCATATATATAGATAACAGGGGGTTGATGTTTGATTAGAAGAAGAAAAAATGTGTGTTTTGGGCGATCAATGGCTTATGCAAGTTTCAAGAAAGGATGGAGTAGTCATTAGCGAGATTAGTAATACGTGCTTTGATTATTTCTGATGGTTTTGGATTAGGGACAAAGTTTCTAGTGGGTGTGGATGTCTTCATCAATTTAATTTACTCTGATTAGTAACACGTGTATGTACATTATACACGGCTGGAAGGACCAGAGCTCACCAATTAAGCTGATTAGGTTTGGGAATCCTTAGTGCATGATGACTAGATTTTTGGGTCTTGTACTATCATATCCAATATTGACTAAATTTTGGGGTTTTCACTATATGTTAGTATAGAATTTGTTATCTACTTTGTTCATCTGTATTTCTTTTTGGCTATTTTTTGGCCTTTTTGTTTAGTAGTTAGCAGCAAATTTTCTATAAATACATCTTCCACACTCTAATTTGTAGTAATGAATAATTCGTTCGACAGACAACTAGCACAACTTGAATTGTAATCGATCAAATTCTTTCATGACAAGTCGACCGTAGATATATATTCATTGACTCTTTACCAGGTTTCACGGCAAATTCCTAAAAATAAATTTCTTCAAGGGAGGGCGTCGGAGACTTGGGGTTGGGCGGCTTCCACCTCTTCCGTTTGCAATTCCAGGGGCGACGGAGATTGTCAAAGAGGAACTTAATGCCTCCTCCTTCCTTTCAACCGAAGAAGATTGACAGATGAATTTCAAATTAGGATCGAAAAGATTACCAGTTTCAATTATTATTTTGTTTAACCCCCATGCAGGGGCAGAGCTACACAAGACCTAAGAAATACCAAAATCATGAATGAATACTTTGTTATTCTGAAAATTATGTAGTAACTGGAATGGTTTATATAATAAAGAGCACGTACAAAACTGTGTTTAGCAATAATGATTCAGCCTAATGCTAATGATCTGCGGTTCGAACCCCACTTTTGCATAAATTTTTAACCTACTTTTGTCTTCAATTATTACTTATTAGTTTAGTCTCACTGTATAGTTATTTAGTTCCTTAAATTTATATTATGATTTCATGAATTTTTTCAATTAAGTTATTCAACTTATAATTGGCATGTTTTAATAATACAATTTTCCGCCGATAAGTTTAATAGAAAATCAATCTATTATTTAAATTATTCTTTGATTTATTAATGATTTCTCAAAATTATTTCCTTAAATTTAATTATGATGTCATGGCGTTTTTCCAATTATGTTATCCAACTTATAATTAGTTTGTTTTAGTGATAATTTTTTCCCTAGTTAGTTTGACAATATTTTTAATTTTGATAGAAAACCAATATAATTATTCAATATTTAAACTTTTATTTAGGGATTCGATCCTCAATAATTATACGTTTGATGGAAAATCAATCTAGTTATTTAAATTTTATACTTTGATTTTTTAACAAATTTTTGTAATTAACATAATAAATTTTTTATATAGTTATATAGTTAATTTGATTTGTTTTTGTCTACTTACACTAATATACTAAAATTTCCCAGTCCCCCAAACCCTTAATCCCGGCTTCGTCCCTGACCCATGAAGAAGATTTTTTTTTTTTATCTCAATGAATTACTTCAAAGTGAAGGAAAACAAAGCTCATCTCCTTCCAAAAACTCTTATCCGATATGACAATCTCCTAACAAGACCAAGCAATTTTGCTATTTCCCATAAAGCTAGCTAACTCAAAACCTTAGAACAATACAAAGACGACTGCCTAGTTAAAACAAGACGTTGAACAGGTTTTTGACCGTAAGCTATGTCGAGAAGAGCAATCTGCAGTCTACACACATTTCAGTATTGTATTAGGCAGCTAGCAAGCTTGAATGCATCTCATAGCGTACATAGTTCCAGCAGTAGTTATGTGTCTCATTCCGGCACTCATTTCTTTCGTTGCAGAGCGGCCGGCTATGTGTTGCTAAATGCTAAGCTGGCCATTGTTTTTGGGGAATGCAGCCTGAAAATCACAGCCAATGAGGAAAGGGATGGGCAATAACATTGCAGAGACGACATAATGGAGAACAGCATTTAAGTTTGGGCGGAGCAAGCAACCTGGCGTAACTTGGACCAAGCGTTATTGCTGTGGGTATCGATCTAACCCCCAAGTAACGTTTTTCTTTAAGGGGAAAATAAAAGGCCTGTGTTCTATATATAGTTGCAAAATTCTTTTTAGAGGGTTGGTGTCTCGAAAGTGCGTATTTGATGGTTGTTCTCATCTTTACTTTATTATTATATCAATCTTTAAAGATTAGTTATGAAATTGTGGTGAAGAGATATTGCTTCTTTGTTTTCGATTTATTTTGGTTTGGCTCCTACGTTCAAGCCTGCTCAGCGTCTGCAAACATGTGACAAATGGAATTGGTCTCGTGGTAATAGACTAGTTTTGAACCTCGAGGTTACAGATTTGAATAACTTAAGTAGTACCCAATGACTAAAATTAGAACATATATCACTCTTATAATAAAATAAAATAAAACATGTGACAAACTCATGGTATAGGTTTGCAACAATTTTAGTTGATTGTTGACCTCAAATTTCAAACTTAAAGTGTGGCATTCGTTATCATGTGATCATTCTCACATTACCACTAGATCAACCTCAACATTTTCTCCTACTCTAAACATTAATCGCTTGTGGTTTATTTTGCTTTAATAATTATATCAAGTTAGAAAGTATAATTTAATCTGACTTACATAATTGATTGCACTTTGACGGGCAGAAACACTAATAAGTAGCTACTACAATTATTTTTTTGTTACCATCAAAGATATTGTGGAAGACACTTGAGTCAAAAAGCGTAATAATTATTCTGTATAATAATATGATTAGCTAGGGTCCAACCAAAAGAAATTAGTGTTCCTTAATCATTCAAGTAGGTGGCATCGCATATGGTTGGTTTTTGCCGGTAAGTTTGGGTTGGATGGGTAGATTGCTTGCGGGGCCTAAAGGCAGAAAAATGAATTAATGTGGTGAGTTGGGTCGGAAGCTGAGTGCCATAATGCTCACTCCACTGCCGAATGCAGATTCCATATCATATCATCCTTTTTGTTATCTTTTCCGAAGCTTCCAGTACCACTGCTCAAGTCTGAACACAATCTAAATTCTTTGGTACATGATATAAGATATAAGAGCTTTCTGTAATCATCGAATAAGTCTCTTGTGATTCTCATCTGTTATATTAAATACATAATATTTGGACATATACAAACTTCATACCCATATATAGTGGCTTTCGTTCTTGCACCAACGTCCAACTACAAGTTCTAGCTCTTTTCCATAATATTAATAGCAATATAAGCCGCGGGGACAACTTAATTAATGACCTCAATAATTCTTGCGTAATTGTGGTGCCTATCATAATGGCCTCATCATCTTATCCATCTCCTGATAGCTTTTTATTCAACAATTATTAGCTCACATTAGCTTCTTCAACTCTGAACACAGTGCCCTCTACCATCTATCTGAACTCTGCTATGGTTGTGTCCAACGTTCAAAGCCAACCAACTCGCCATTCTGCATTATAGTACCTCTCAAGCCCACCTAGGTAATGGAGCAAATACTCAGGTTCATCTCGACCGTAGCAAGTCAGCGTTCTGAGTGCTTTCATAACAAACAACCCAATATTGCTTGATCTGTGTCAGTTTTGACGACACCAAAATGAGTTGAGAGTAATACTCAGTGAAGTGGGTTCAAATTGCCCGTCCTAAGTCCTAACTAGGCGTTTATGCATTACTTGACGGACATGGGTTAGAAAAAGGGAAGAGATAAGAAGTTTTTATCGATACAGATCCAGCCCCTGGGCCCTTTCTACTTAACACAAGCCCAAACTTAGTTAGGCCTCGCAAAGGTAGTTTTTTGGATGGCCCATCGCCCATCACATATGAGCGCACGACGCAAAGGGTTTTAGCAAACTGGACGTCCAAACTCTGGGAGGAACAGCTAAGCCTAATCTTAAGAGTTAAGAATTGGGCTTGGATTGTTAGATAAAAGTCTTGAGTTCCAAGATTTGGCCAATACTACAGTGCCGCCGTAAAAAGTGCGGCACGGGTGCCGCTGTATGTGATTGGTCCACGTGGATTATGATGTGGCTTGAGTTAGGTTCGATTGAATCCAACTTCAAACCCGGTAGCCCATGAAACTTGTACCAAACCGCAGCTACCCAAACAGCGTCCTGTGACTCCCGTCTTTCGCAATTTTTATATGTTATTTTTTCATTACTTAATTTAATATTGGTGCAACCATTAAGCTTCCCAAAAAATTTGAACAACTAAAAACTCTTTGATCTATTATTCGTATTCATGACGATGGACGATTCTGGATTTCTGGTGATCAGGGGTTGCGCAAGTACCTCCCCTACCATAATTTCTGGAGTGTCCCTTCTCAGACCCTCTAAAATCTCCCCTCGTCTTCTGCGTTCCTCTTCCAAGAAGAAGCTGCACACCAGCGTCGAACCTGGAGCGAGAATCTCACCTACTACACCGGCACGAGATACTTTTGCGGTGCGATCGTTGGCAGTATGAAGGGAAACATAACCATGACGTTCCAGCTACAAGGCAGCGGCTATCTCACCACCAGAACAACAAAGATACAACGAAATCTTCTCCAGCAGCCATTCCCTCCCATTAGGCCCTAGCTTTGTCATGAACAGACACCATTTTAACATCAGCGGTACCTATCCAAATCAATCTCCATTCACCCTGGAGATGTTGTAGCAAGGTTTAGGGAGTTATGGGTTCTTAGGTTTCGAAAAACCGACAAATTGTACAAGCAAGAGGAGGTTCTTCCTCTTACATGAATCATCAATCGCAGTACGGCAGGATCCCTGAAGCTAAGGAAGAACCTAAGGAGGATTCCTTCTTTGATTCATTGTTAAGATGAATACCACTAAGCCGAAAAAACCTACAGTTTTGGTTGCAATAGCAATTAGGATTTAGGGAAAAAAGAAAACATACATACATACTTAATAAATGATAGGAGAGGGAGATATTAATTGTATACAGATAGATACATAATGGGATTTTATTGGTTCATTTGTTATTAGTTACAGAGCCATCCTGGTTTGGTTTGTGAAAGGAGAATAAATGTTGAAGATGACTTCTTTTGATGGCAAGAGATCGAACATAATGTATTGAGTTTCTTTAATTAATTCATTCAGTAACTCATTAAACTGACAAAAAGGAATTCACTACTCGAAAGTCAAAATCATGTCAATATCTCCCCAAACCCCAACCCGTACCAAGAATTGAATGAGCTTTCATTACACAAGAATCCCGGCGACATTACCAGCTGCCGTGATCCCTCAAATAGCACCAGCAATTGCCGCCGATCTGGACCCTCTGGCTGATCGATAAATTGCCCAGCAATCACTGTGTTACCAGAATCATCCACATCCCTCAAGCTGCTCTCGACCCCCGTAAACATCAGACTCAAAAATCCCATAGTACTGTTGCCCAGCCGCCAACCACTGTGCCTGCCGGAGTTCAAAACCCTGTTCACCTGAAACTTCATGCTATCGCCGGCCTGGGCAGCCCTGATCCCATCGAGCGTCCTGTTCCACCGCCCACGATCGCACCGCCAAGGTACCTTGTGCCGGTGTACTAAGTGAGATTCTCGCTCCAGGTCGAGCGTTGGCGCGCGGCTTCTTCCCGTAAGAGGAACTCATGGGACGTGGAAGTTCTGGTAGGGGTGGTACTTGCGGAACCTCTTATTGCCAGAATCGCCCATAGTCGTGAAGACGAAGAAAAGATCCGAGTTTTAGCTGTTCAAATTTTATGGGAACTTAACAGTTGCACCAATTAAATTAATTAGTCAGAAAATAACAAATAAAAACGCAGAAGACGGATGTTGTTTGGGTAGCTGCGGTTTAGTACAAGTTTCATGGGCCACCGGGTTTGAAGTTGGATTCAACCAAACCTAATCAGGCCATGTCATAGTCCACGTGGCCCAATTACAATAAGCGGCACCAGTGCCGCACTTTTTTTAGCGGCACCGTAGTATTGGCCCCAAGATTTAGCCTTGTGGATTTCAATTTTCAAGCGTGACACTGGTCCCACTTTGTTGGATGGCACTTGGGCGTTTCAGTTTGCTTTTGGTTAATAGGATGAGCTATCGTGACTCGTGAGTAGGGGTGTTGTGGTTATCGTAGTAATCATTTTAATCAGTAGTATATGAATAATTTGGTTTGATTTATTTGGATTATTGTTTGGTTTGGTTAAATTGTTTAACTTATTTGGTTAGGTGGTTAGTTTGGTTTTAGACACTTCTAACCAATTAAACCAATTAATCGGTTAAGTAATTTGGCATATCTAATATATATATATACTTGATAATTTGTCATATATCTAATATGGATAAAGAATTTAGATAAACTCATACATTATGTTATGAAACCTGAAAGTGAAGGATGTTTTAAGCCTTTAATAATTGCTAAGCGTATAATACAATTCATAAAGACACAACCAATTCATAAAGCCATTGATGACTCGGTATTTGCACATGTTTTCCCCTTTGTTTCTTGATTGTTTGAGCTTGAATTATTGAGTCTTTGGCCTATTTTATGCTAGGTTGTGTTCCTTTGTCCCATTTCAGGTCCTAGCACGTAAAGTGAAGCATAAGCGCAAGTTTCAAGTCAATCAGAGATCAATTGACGATTCGAGAGAAGAAACTCGGGCATGACCTGAAGAAGAATGGATTTCTACCTCACTTTATGGACAAAGAATCGTGCAAGCTTGTTATGAAACGAAAGAGGACGAGACTACGAGCGTCTGGGATCAAACGGCGACTGATTCGGAGTCCGGACGAGGGAGAAACGAAGCATTAAACAGAGGCTGAGCAAGCCACACGGGCAGAGCAGAAAATCCACACGGCCGTGCAAGATGAGCTGTACGGTCGTGCAAGGTGAGCTGCACGGCCGTGCGACCCTGGCCGTGTAAGAAGCCTGGAATTCAACTAATCGATACGCTGCGTTTTGACTCGCACGGGCAACTGGGTGAGCTGCACGGCCGTGCGGCCTACCCGTGTGAGTCGGGAATTGCTGTTTAAAACCCGATTTTCAGCCAAAGGAAAGGGGAGAGCTGGGTTTTGGATCCCAAACACCCAAGGGACGAACCAAAGAGAGAAAGGGCGATCTGAGGGCATTCTAAGAGTGGAATTGGAGGATTTCTTCGCCTTGGAAGCTTGAGGAACAAGCCCGGACTTGAAGACTGATCATCTGAAGATTCTTACTGCGGTCTCTTTCTTCTCTATGGAGTAACTTCCCTTCACTTAGGTTTTGAGGAACCCTAGCTATGTTTGTTTGATTGGATGATTGTATGAGTACTCTGACTTGATAATTTTGAGTTCATTGGGGTGGTATTACCCCAATCATTGGGGGTATCCACCACCATCCGGGTGGTATTACCCCGAGACTTCCTGGAGCAATCAAGGAGGAGAAGACTATGGATTCGGGTTCCAGTACCAACCCCCTTACTACGGAGAACAACCGAACCCCTGGGCATATCAAGAACAACCTCATTACCAAGAAGAATTTCTCCCACAACCAGAAGGGCCATTGGAGCTGGAGTTACCCATGGCGGCCTTCACGTGCCATTCTGCAGAGCCATGCTACACTCCACAGCCAGATCCACACTATGAATTGAGGCTTCTCATGGAGAGATCATGCTCCAGGATGGATCATTGTGTCCAGGCCTTTCGTGAAACAGAGGATATCCTCCTGAGCCTTAAGAAGAGTGTCGATGATCTTGAGCGATCTTGGGCGCAACGTGCTCCAGATCACCCTTCTGCTACCATACAAGAAGAGGAGGAGGACGAAGAAGGCTACAAGGACATTGTGGAGCACACTGAAGTTGTCACGGAGAGCTCCCGTGATGATCATGATCAGGAGTGTCATGTCGTAGCCGACCACACCTTCCCACACCCCAAACTGAGCTTTGAAGAGGCGGGCATGAGTGAGGAGATGCAAGAAGATCTCATGAAATAAATTGCTTGGCAACTTGCTCTCCAATCCGTGCTAGAAGAAGAAGAGCAAGAAAGGGTGCAGAAAGAAGTTGTGGAGGATGACGAAAGTGAAGCAAGAGGAGTTCTTGATCATTTCCCAGGGGTGATACCACATGAAGAAGGAAGGGAGGTTGAAGAAGAAATCGGCGTCCAGGCTGAGGACGGAGTTAAGGTGGAAGAGGCCTGCACCGGCCATGCGTTACATGTGATATCTCCACCAAACTTCGAGGAACTGCTTAGCAAGGACCCATTTGCAGTGTCTCTTTGCCAGACCAAGGTCACATTAACATCGGTCCCTCTTGATGGACGCGATGGTGGCCAATCAATGCTGTCATATCTAGTTTGGGGCAATGAGACGAGAGAAGAGAAGAAGAGGTCTCGAGGGTGGAGACTTCATCTGCATCAAGTACATGAGCCTTCATCACCTGCCACACCACATGCTCGTGACTTGCTACTCCACCTCATTGACGAGAACCTCAACTTCAAGGAGGTTCTAGCATGGACCGAAACTTAGGAGCCATCGTCCGGCTCAAGACATGAAAGAAGCGCTTGTTGGGAGGCAACCCAACCAGTCGGTTTGCATTTCTTTCTCTATTTCTCCTCGGTTGAGTCAGTTTTGCTATTTGATTTTAAAGTCAATAACTCAACCTTTGTGAGATTTTGTGTGGTGTTTGTGTTCTGATTACTCTCTCTTTCTGGAATGCACCGCCTGACCCGTTCATCATCATTCACCCTTGATCTGGTAACTTCGTTCTACCCTCCTTATCTTTCCTCCATTGAGGACAATGTCGTGCTTAAGTGTGGGGGGTGTTCGATTATTTATGCGGGTGAATGTTTGGCTGTTTGTGTGCTTGGAGCCTAGTCCACTGTCCAAATTTTGAAATTTGAGGGCTCCAAGTACGTGTTCCTTGCAATTGCCTGCTCAGTATGCTTTGAATTGATAGTCTTTATAGTAATATGCAACCTAGGGAGGTAGTGTAGCACTATGGAGGATGTTGATGCATTTAAGGAGTCTCATTGCTTCTTCATATTGTGTTGGTTGATTGAGTGAATTTGTGATCTTAGGACCCTTGAATTGTGTGGTGTTGTGGATTCTCTACCTGTCATGGACTCTTGTATCATGTTTTGAGTTTAACAGGTGCTCGAAAATGTGCTTCAAAATAACGTCTCCCGTGCGAATAGGATGAAAGTGTGTAAGGGGAGACGGGAATTCGTTACCAATTTCCACCTTCTACCTCCAGCCCCCTTACATGTCTTTCCCCCGCACGAGGCTCGAGACATCCGCTCCTGGCATGGCCGGTAAGAGCAAGTTGGGACCCTTGAAAAAAAATAATAAAATAACAGAAAACAAGCAAAACAGAAAAGAAAAGGGGTTCCAACCATCTTCAAGAAGAAAATAGAGCACCTTGAAAAATGTGAGTCCATGATCTTTTGTTTTTGAGAATCTCTTCATCCACAATTCATTTGTCCTCTGTTCACTATTTGCCATGATGCCGACTCGATACTAGTGTTCTCGCCGAAGAAGCTATGAGATGACTTGTGTGTCAGTTGACCTCGTAAGTTGCTAAATGATCTAGGAAGTCCTCTACCTACGATCTGGGGTGTTTTTTTGCTATAGAGGTCTGGAGAGTTGCATTGGTTTGAGTTAGGTTTGCTTGGGGACAAGCAAACAGTTAAGTGTGGGGGGATTTGATGACTCGGTATTTGCACATGTTTTCCCATTTGTTTCTTGATTGTTTGAGCTTGAATTATTGCGTCTTTGGCCTATTTTATGCTAGATTGTGTTCCTTTGTCCCATTTCAGGTCCTAGCACATAAAGTGAAGCATAGGCGCAAGTTTCAAGTCAATCAGAGATCAATTGACGATTCGAGAGAAGAAACTCGGGCATGACCTGAAGAATAATGGATTTATACCTCACTTTATGGACAAAGAATCATGCAAGCTTGTTATGAAACGAAAGAGGACGAGACTACGAGCGTCTGGGATCAAACGGCGACTGATTCGGAGTCCGGACGAGGGAGAAATGAAGCATTAAACAGAGGCTGAGCAAGCCACACGGGCAGAGCAGAAAATCCACACGGCCGTGCAAGATGAGCTGTACGGCCGTGCAAGGTGAGCTGCACGGCCGTGCGACCCTGGCCGTGTAAGAAGCCTGGAATTCAACTAATCGATACGCTGCGTTTTGACTCGCACGGGCAACTGGGTGAGCTGCACGGCCGTGCGGCCTGCCCGTGTGAGTCGGGAATTGCTGTTTAAAACCCTATTTTCAGCCAAAGGAAAGGGGAGAGCTGTGTTTTGGATCCCAAACACCCAAGGGACGAACCAAAGAGAGAAAGGGCGATCTGAGGGCATTCTAAGAGTGGAATTGGAGGATTTCTTCGCCTTGGAAGCTCGAGGAACAAGCCCGGACTTGAAGACTAATCATCTAAAGATTCTTACTGCGGTCTCTTTCTTCTCTATGGAGTAACTTCCCTTCACTTAGGTTTTGAGGAACCCTAGCTATGTTTGTTTGATTGGATGATTGTATGAGTACTCTGACTTGATAATTTTGAGTTCATATTCAATCTATGCATGTTTTCATGATTCAATTCTGCTTTAGTCGAGATTATTGATTCTGCTTTGATCCTATGAGAGGGAATACCTGATTAGGTCAATAGAGCACCATAGATTGATAGTAGTGGATCGATTGCTTTAGTCGAGGGTTAATTCACTGCTTTGTATCGATTGAGAACCTCTTTCGATAGAGGGAGTCTAGTTCAGAACGCCTTGATCAGTTGTTCTAGAGAAGGATACGTCCCTCTAGGCAATTGACTCAAGAGGGCCTTGTTCCTTTAGTCGAGACTCAAGGTCTAGTCAAGGATTCTCCGCATTGTGAATGAAAGTGAAACAAGTTAGAAATCATCAATCGTTAGTCTGGCTAGTGGCTAGGGGGAATCATACCTAAGTGAGTTCCCAACCTATAATTAGATTAACTTTAACTGTAGTTTGCTAGAG